AACTTGAATCTGCATGTATCTCTTTTCTTGTTTTGAAAGAAAGGGGTGGGAAAATTCTCATAAAAATATCATGTGACTCAAAATTTCACAATTTTCTCAAAAAATTATTTTGAGGAAATAAAGTTTTCCCATGTACCTAAACTTGAACTAATATTGCTTAAGCTTAATGCCAGAGAACCAGAGAGAGAAAATAAGAAAGAAGTGAAACAGATGAGGCAAGCAATGAACTCCAGACCAGAAACTTCTGAACACCTTAAAAGGTTTAAAAAAGAATCCGTTTCAGTGTTTTAATCATGATATTTATTATAATAAATGTAGAGATGATTTAAAGTCTTATTAAAGAATCCATTTCAGTGTTTTAATCACGATATATGTTATAATAAGTGTAGAGATGATTTAAAGTCTTATTATAGTTACAAGTTTATTTTGCAACATCAGTGCTTGACATTAGTATGGTGGGATGCTGACTCAGACATAGATTTTGTGTTTCCATAAAGATGCAGCATGTGGTCCTATGGAAACCTCAGCTGCATTATTTAAATTTCCTGCAGACTCATGTTGCAAGTATTTTTAGTAAAATTAAATATTTTTATGGAGTAGGTCTGTAACTATCTCAAGGAACAAGCTGAATAAAAATAATGCAAACATTGTCAGACAGTCCTGAAAAAGCATAGTTTTTTAAAGACTGCTTTATTGAGGTATGATTGATAAGTAAAAAGCTGTGCATATTGAATGTATACAACTCGATGAGTTTGGGAATAAGTATATGCCACTACCATCAACGTCATAAACATATCCATCACTCCCAGAGTTTCATCCCCCCCCCCATATAACATAGAAATGATGATTATCCTTATTATTTCATGTTGTAAAGCCTGAATTTTGAGTGGGTAAAGAAAATCATCGGGTGGTTGGTTGGTTTCATTGATTGGAATGTAAAGGATTCTTTTTGTGGGATGGCAGACAAAACCCACTCTTAAAAACACACATATGCATTCTTCTATTCTGTTGCCTTTCTTGGCGTTTAAATCATCAAGACTGATGGAAGTGGTAACTATGGGTACTTACTGCACATCTGGAAAGTAATTTGGGAAGATGTAAAAGCAGCTGTGCCACCCTGTTCTAATTATTATCTGGAGTGAGGAGTGGCTATTACGGCATATCGTAGGTTGTGAAATGCTGGCTTTCTTTGGCCTGAGTTGAGTTGAACAGCTGCTCTTTTCCTCAGGAGCAACAAATATATTTTTCAGGTCCCCAGATTATTGGGGGAGTTTTGAGTGATTGGGAATGGGATAGAGAATTTCACTCGTAGGGAAAACAGAACTGAAGTGAAGAGTTGGCTTGTTGTTGATTTTATGATATTGTGAAATATATTTTTGGTCTTAATCTTGTTTTCTGGCAAACTCCTAAAACCCTTGGAATCTCCAGAGTGATAGGTGTATTTTTTTGTATGTTAATGAGTTGACTGATGGCTGGCCACTCTAGGTAGCTTCAGAATGGAGGTTGGTCACAGCAAAGACCCAGGTTGGATTAGAGGGTTGGGACTTTTAGCCCCAACCTCTGGGGAGGGGAAAGGGGCTGAAGGTTGAGCTGCTAGTCAGTGGCCTTTGATTTAATCAATCATGCCTACGTAATGAAGCTTCCATAAAAACCCCAACAGACTGGGTTCTGGGAGCTTCTGGATAGCTGAACACGTAGAGGTTTGTGTAGGGTGGAGGGTCTGGCGGGGGCAGGGAAGCTCCAACTCCCTTCCCCAGTACTCTGCCCTATGCATCTCTTCATCTCTTCATACTTCATTGGTATCCTTTGTGAATTCTTTTAAAATAAGTCAGTAAATGTAAGTATAGTGTTTGCCCAAGTTTTCCGAGCCACTCTAGCAAATTAATTGAGCCCCAAAAGGGGGTCGTGGGAACCCCAATTTGTAGCAGGGAAAACAACCTGGAGCTTGCTTCTGGCATCAGAAGTGAAGAGCAGTCTTCTAGGACTGAGCCTTCAGCCTGTGGGTTATGAGGCTGTCTCCAGTTTGGTAGTGTCAGATTTGAACTGGAAAACACCCAGCTGGTGTCCGCTGCAGAACTTGCTGCTTCTTTGGTCTCTGCCTGCCTTGGTCTTCCAGAGTGCTGGCATTACAGGCGTGAGCCAGGCGCCTGGCCCCAGGTGCTCGAATAGCTGAGGCAGCTGTGGCATCGAGCCCTTCCCTCCCAGGGGCTGGCGCTTTGCTCTCCTAGTCACAGCTGTCAGGAGCTGGTGGTCAGAACCCACGCCCCCATGGGAGCTGCTCTTCTGCCCTCCTTCTCTCTTAAAGTTTCCTCCAGGAGTTCCCTCAGTCCTCTTCGGGGTGTGTGTTGATGGGGTTACGGGGGATGCGTGGGAGAAGGCCTGCTTCGAGCCTCCAGGAGGAACTGCTTGTTGCTCTCTGGGTGCTCTCAGGCCACTACTGCATGGAGGGCGTGGGGACCGCAGGTGAAGGTTACTGAAAGACTGGTACATTTGGGGTTTATATTGTAGGATGGGTGATGGTGCATGAAAGGATCTCAGTGGGGAAGATTCCATCTGATCTTTAGCAAGGTCATTTGGGTGGCAGGTTGGGCAAAGTTGGGCCATCGGGAGGCCGTAGATGGAAATGGTCGAGTTGTGATCCTGGGGCATGTGTGGTTGAGTTGTGATGAGTCGGAAGATCCTCAGGATCCTAATATCAGTTTATCATGCTGTATTTCAGGAACCTCACCTTAAGATATTCTGTTCTGGCTCCCTCTTCTTCCAAGACAGATTCTGGGTTTTTGTTTTGTGTTTGAGATGGAGTCTCACTCTGTCACCCAGGCTGAAGTACAGTGGTGGGATCTCAGCCCACTGCAACCACCGCCTCCTGATCTCAGGCAATTCTTGTGCTTCAGCCTCCCGAGTAGCTGGGATTACAGGTGTGTGCCACCATGCCCAGCTAATTTTTGTACTTTTAGTAGAGATGGGATTTCACCATGTTGGCCAGGCTGGTCTCGAACTCCTGACCTCAGGTGATCTACCCGCCGGCTTGGCCTCCCAAAGTGCTGGGATTACAGGCGTGAGCCACCGCGCCCGGCCCAGGTTCTGTTTTCAGGCAGTTTCCTTTCCTGGAGGCAGTACAGCAGAGGCCAGGAAGCTGAGCGCCACGGTGTGTGTCCTTAGAGGGGCAGCAGCAGATTCCGTCTTGACCTTTGCTGTTTTTCTACTGAACACTTGACAGTAGATGACATTTTGAAGAGGGGGGGGTCTCCCACCTTGCCTGCTGTGTCAGTCCAGACTGTGGGCTCAGACAGACAAGACTGATTGTAGTGAAGGAGTGACTTTTGTCCAGACACATTCAAAGATCTTCCTGGCCTTGGAAGAGTCCTTCTTGTCTCCACGCTGTGCTAGGAACTTTGAGGCCATCAGCTCAAACGCAGAACACGTTATTGGTGGGGAAGCAAGGAGCTTTCGAAAGTGTCATTTTCTCCTGTTTCGGTTTCTCCTCTCCCGTGGTTCTGTAAAATCAGTGAATGCAGAAGTAGGGTAGAGATGATCCTTGATCTGCCCCAGGCCTCCTGACCAGGGTGTAGGTCTTTAGCAGAAAGGCTTTGGGAGAAATCCAACTCGCAAGCCCTGCTTGCATCTAAGCCTGCTTTGCAGTGTTAGGCGTGTGTTGCTATGGGCAGTGCACCAACATTAAATAACTGAAGGGCTGGCTAGCAGTCTGTAAAATGGAAAATGTGTGTGTGGCTTTAGGTGATCTAAAAGTCGTATTTTCCTTGGTTGTCTTGGTAAAGTCATTTATTTAAATCAAAGAGCAGAATGTTGGGAGGTTAAAAAAAAAAAAAAAAGAGCTGGAGGAGAGGTCTTTCTGAATGAGTGAATGGGTAGAAGAAATGGCATAACTTACAAATGTACAAGGCATTTCTGTCATCCTCCCTGTGTGTATTCAGGTGTGTATTTAGGAATCCATTGCTCTAAAGGAAGACTATAGTGTGGAACAAAATCTTGCAGTGAGTATTACACTGTGAGAGATTTTTAGCACTTACTACATGCCAGGTGGACTACATGAGCCAGCTAAGGTCTAAGCGCCTCACACATGTTACTCCAGTAGTCCTCACTGAAGTAGATGCTATGATTATTCAGTGTTCCTCGGAGGTTAAGAGACATACCTAAGGCCACTTAACCAGTACAAGGCTCAGTGGAGCTGGGGGGAAGCTCAGAATGAGCTCTAGAGCAATTACGTGGCACTTGCCTTGGGGAAGAAACAAGTGACATGTTTACTTATTTATGCAGGTGAATTTGTAACGTGTACTCTTGCACCTGGACTTGGAATGCCTAGTGAATAAAAAGTCTAATGAATAATATGAATATTAATGACCATAATAATGAATATTGATGAATACTAATGACTAATGAATAAAAAGATTTTCCACTTTTCTGAGGGTCTCCTGAGAGGTGCAGTGAGATCTGTCTCAGATTCTATTCTCTGCCAGTTCCTGAATTCTCAGGCTCCCATCGGAATCCCTGAGAGGGGTCCTGACATTGTCTCTTTTATGAGCTTCCCAGGAGGTGGTGATGCAGGCCAGGGGCCACACTGGGCATTAGGAGCCTCTTCCTCACACAGTGCCTTTGCTGAAGGTGCTTCCCTGGTGTTTCCTCTCTTAGCCCTGCTAGGCAGGCAGAGAGATGGGTGTCGAAGACCCTGATGTTGGCACCAGACCGTCCCAGGTTGGAAAGCTGGCCTCTGTGCTTCTTAGTCCCGGGATTTGTGGGCAGTCGCTCAACTTCTTTGAGCTCCTGTTTACCCATCAATACAAGTGAGGAAAAAACAGGCCCCTGTCAGAGGGCTGCCCTGAGGAGTAGGAGATCCTGTACGTGAAACAACCTGGCACTTGATGTTTCCCGCTTAAATACCGGCCTTTATTACTATAAACTCTACATAGAGGGAGGTCTGATGGCTGTGAGCTTTTCCCGGGTGCACTGACCTGACCGCCTTTGTTTTTCTACCCCTTCAGGACGGTTCGCTGGGAAACATCGATGACCTGGCGCAGCAGTATGCAGATTATTACAACACCTGTTTCTCCGACGTGTGCGAGAGGATGGAGGAGCTGCGGAAACGGCGGGTTTCCCAGGACCTGGATGTGGTGAGTGGGAATCCTGAGAATATATTTTTGTGAGCAGAGCTGCTCCAATTTGGGCTTCTCCTTGGTCCTTCTCCCAGTGCTAGCTGTTCCTGGGGTATCAATCTGTAGGCTACTGCACTAGTATGGGGTAAAAAGTTCAGATCCCTAAAGGACAGACCCAGTTCTGCTGCGGATATCAAACTGAGTGAGTGTTGGCTGGAGCAATAGGATCGAACCTTTGCATTCATTAAAAGAATAGATTTTTATTTTTATTTTTATTTTTTTAACTTAAGGAAAAAGTATGTTTTTACTATTCACCAGTGTATACTACATTTTTTATTGACTCTAAGCCCAAAGGATGTCTAGGCTAATTATTTCCCCCTTTTCATTCCTTTTTTCTTTTCTTTTGGAAAGCAACATAAAATTTAAAGGAACAATGAATTGCCTGTAGTCTCTCACCTAGCAATAATCACATTGATGTTTTAGTAGGTATCCTTCCAATGTTTTTGTGGGCATTTAAAAATCAGCAAAACTAGTCCACTGCTAAAGACACTTTTTTTCTTTTTTTTTTTGAGATGGAGTTTCGCTTTTGTCCCCCAGGCTGGAGTGCAATGGTGCGATCTCAGCTCACTGCAACTTCCGCCTCCCGGGTTCAAGCGATTCTCCTGCCTCAGCCCCCCAAGTAGCTGGGATTACAGGCATGCACCACCACGGCCGGCTAATTTTGTGTTTTTAGTAGACACAGGGTTTCTACTCGTTGGTCAGGCTGGTCTCGAACTCCCAACCCCCTCCCAAAGTGCTGGGATTACAGGCGTGAGCCACCATGCCCGGCCTAAAGACACTATATATAGATAAAATCATATTTTTAATATATATAAAATCAGTGAAACAATGCTGTATCTATATATTAAAAAAAACTTCTTCTTTTATTACTTAACATTGTATTGTAGCTCATATTCCCTGTCCTTGAAATTCCTTGTCATCACCATCTTTCATGGCTATGTTCTCCTCTCACTCAGGTGCATTGAAATAAATTTGGCTGTTTGTGAAAACCTTTATGTGTATAGTCAGTGGCACATTTGGCCTTGTATGTGATAAACAGTAACTAAATAGTGTAGGTGCTATATATTTAATTTTTATGTATACTAGTAGTTCAGAATTGTATATTTGCTATAAAATATCATAAAAGCTTCTGCATTTCTCAGTGTAAATATCTTACTATTGGATTCACTTTAGTTCCGTGCCTTTCAAATAGTTTTGTTTCATTATGCCAACCTCAGGACCTCCTCAAGAAATGGGGTTGAAGCAGAAGAAAATGTTCAACCCTCTGTATCTCCTCATCCAGACCTGTTCCTTTTGAGCCATCTCAGATAGTGGGGGCTGCATGGATATGTTTTAACTAACAGAGTTCCTCAACCTTTAAAAAAATGTTTGAAAACTAAGCTGGGCATGGTGGCTCACGCCTGTGATCCCAGCACTTCCAGAGGCTGAGGCTGGTGGATCACCTGAGGTCGGGAGTTGGAGACCAGCCTGACCAACATGGAGAATCTCTACTAAAAAATATAAAATTAGCCAGGCGTGGTGGCACATGCCTCTAATCCCAGCTACTCAGCAGGCTGAGGCAGGAGAATCACTTGAACCTGCTGAGAGGCAGAGGTTGTGGTGAGCCAAGATCGCGCCATTGCACTCCGACCTGGGCAACAAGAGTGAAAGTCCGTTTCGGAAAAAAAAAGAAAAAAAAAAAATTGAAAACTGCTGATTCAATTGAATCCTTATTTATCCTCCTTCTACCTCCTATTTGTCTACTTAGGGTAAGCACACACACAAATAATAATTAAGTAACTAATTTAGAACTAATTAAGAACAGAGAATTCTTTGTTAATAATTATTTTTATGTTATATACAAGGGTTCTGTGATTCCTCTCTTATAAGAGACCCAGCAAGGGGTTGGGTACCCCTGCTGTATATTCTGTAAGTGAACATAATCTGTTTCCACTGTGAGACTAGGATGTTCTTATGTACTGTTATTTACTTTCTTAACCACGTAAAGATTCCTTGGATCAGGAGTAACAATATATCATGACTGCCAAATATTAATTGATTCTCTTTCTTTTATGTTCACCAATTTAGTAGTTGCAGGGATGGGAGTTAAAGTTGACTGAGGCTGAGAAGTGTCATCCAGGGGCTGAAAGCCATCACCTCGGGAGCCTGACGCCTTAGCCCAGGTGGGCGGCAGCACTGTCAATGGCTTGTTTCCTTTAACTTTGCTCCTTGACATGTGTGAACGCTGGGGTTATTTCCTCCTTTGGAAAGTAACTTTATGTGTCAAAAGACTCCCACACTCTTAAAATTCGTTAGGCTCTCCTGTTGGAGCATAGTTAATGAAAAAATACTTTCATTTTGGCAAGATTACCACAGGACAACTTAAATATTGCATAATGCCCTGAATTCTTGAATGTTTCAATTCTTCTTCTTCTTTTTTTTTTTTTTTTGAGATGAGGTTTCGCTTCTGTTGCCTAGGCTGGAGTGCAATGACGTGATCTGGGCTCACCACCACCTCTCTCTGCCTCCCGGGTTCAAGTGATTCTCCTGCCTCAGCCTCCCGAGTAGCAGGGCTTACAGGCATCCACCACCATGCCCGGCTAATTTTTTTTTTTGTTTTTTAGTAGAGATGGGGATTCTCCATGTTGGTCAGGCTGGTCTCGAACTCCTGACCTCAGGTGATCTACCCACCTTGGCCTCGCAAAGTGCTGGGGATTACAGGCGTGAGCCACCACGCCTGGCCAGAATGTTGTAACTCTTGCCTGGCCAGAATGTTGTAACTCTTGCCTCTAATGATGGTCTGGTAGGACTCTGTGGCCTCCTTAGACATTTTACTGTGCTTGAGGAAATGATTGCTGTGAACTGGCGAAAGATGGACCACTGACACAACACTAAACTGCTCTTCTCAGGATTCTAGCTGGTTAGGAGTTGGGGTTACTATCGTCATCCCATGGTGTTTGGGAACCTTGGAAGGCAGCTTCTAGGTAGGAGAGAAAGTCTGCCCATCGGTGGGATAAATAACCACCTTCTCGTTCAAACAGGTGGGGCTAATTTGGTGTGCTCTGTTCCAAAACCGCAGAAAACAATGTGGGGGAAAAAAACACCACATGAGCTTAATTAGTTCCCATCAAAAGTACAAGAAGTTGGTGGTGGGTAAAGTTGATGGGAGCTGATTCAAGCCAGACTGGAAGCATGACTGTTCATTCTTTAAATTGTAGTTAGCGGCCGGACACGGTGGCTCACGCCTGTAATCCTAGCACTTTGGGAGGCTGAGGAGGGCGGATCATGAGGTCAGGAGATCGAGACCATCCTGGCTAACATGGTGAAACCTGGCTCTACTAAAAAATAGAAAAAATTAGCTGGGGTGGTAGTAGGCGCCTGTAGTCCCAGCTACTCGGGAGGCTTAGGCAGGAGAATGGCATGAACCCAGGAGGCGGAGCTTGCAGTGAGCCAGGATCCTGCCACTGTACTCCAGCCTGGGTGACAGAGTGAGACTCCATCTCAAAAAAAAAAAAAAAAATTGTAGTTAGCGAGTAAGACCCCAAATTGGCATATTCAGATTCTCTCTCTCTCTCTCTCTTTTTTTTTTTTTTGAGACAGAGTTTTGGTCTTGTTGCCCAGGCTGGAGTGCAATGGCATGGTCTCAGCACACTGCAACCTCTGCTTCCTGGGTTAAGCAATTCCCTTACCTCAGCCTCCCAGTTGCTGGGATTACAGGCTTGCACCACCATGCCCGACTAATTTTTGTATTTTTAGTAGAGATGGGGTTTTGCCATGTTGGCCAGGCTGGCCTCAAACTCCCGACCTCAGATGATCTGCCTGTCTTGCCCTCCCAAAGTGCTGGGATTACAGGTGTGAGTCACTGCATCCAGCCTTCAGATTCTCTTTCTATGAAATTCCAGACAAGTTGCAGTGGAAAAGGGAAATTCTAAAACTGGCAAGGATCGGGTTTAGGTGCTGGATGTTTCCTGTGTCACTCACATGGCTCCGTAGTCTAGATGTCCATGTTAGATGTGTTTTGAGGCTAGTCATCATTTAGGCTATGACACAACGCTATCAGCCTCCTGAAAGTTCCCTCTCACAGTGCTTAACACTTTTGACTCTTCCTGGGGACTCATTTCCTTGAAATGCTGTGACTTCCAGTCTGTCATGTTCCCTTTTATTGCATTAGAATTTTACATATATTTCTAATCTTTCAATTCTGCCTTCAGATAAGTAAACAATATGCTTTCCCTCCTGGCTGCTTGGTTGGAGCAACTTCAGGTCTGAGGACCTGCAGCTTAATTATTTCTTTCTTTCTTTCTTTCTTTTTTTTTTTTTTGAGATGGAGTTCACTCTTGTTGCCCAGGCTGGGGTGCATTGGCACAATCTCGGCTCACTGTAACCTCCGCCTCCTGGGTTCAAGTGATTCTCTTGCATTAGCCTCCCAAGTAGCTGGGATTACAGGTGTGTGCCACCACTCCTGGCTAATATTTTGTATTTAGTAGAGATGGGGTTTCACCATGTTGGTCAGGTTGGTCTCAAACTCCTGACCTCAGGTGATCTACCTGCCTCGGCCTCCCAAAGAGTTGGGATTATAGGCATGAGCCACTGCGACCAGTCAGTTTCTTTCTATGCTTGTCAGCAGCCCTGTCAAAGCTGAATGCAAGATGGCTTTGAGACAAAATAATGTTAAAAGCAGAAGAGGAAATATGCAGTAACATGTTAGAAGTCTCAGACATTTTATAGGGAAAAAGTAGCATTAGATTTGTTGTGTCTGCTCTAGAAAAAGTCATTTTAGAAGACAGCCTTGGGGACAGAGAATTTTGGGTGACGGGTTGACTTGGTTTATGGCTTTGTTTCATTCTAAATCTTCTGGGTGAATTTAGGAGATTGAAGAAATAGTCTACAGATAGAATACTTAGATATTTGTGTTTGACTTTAAAAAGTCAAAAAATGCGTTGTCCTTAAGAGCTAATTATGTATCAACTGAAGAACAA